CGACACCCCCCCCCTCCCCCTCCCACGCTTCACCTACGTCAAAATAGCCATGCGACTATAACTTTAATTGCTGTGCCCATCATTACAATCCTGCGCTACAGTTGCCCCCGCTCGCCAGCCCCCCTTGGCTGCCACTTGTCATGAACAGGCGCCTCCTTTGGGGCGTTCGCTCGCAATTATTTACTTGAGCTGTAAAAGTGTAGTTAAGACCAAGTCAACTTGAAAGCATTTGAGAAAGTTTAATGCTTAAATTATGAGCTACCCTAACCGGCACCACCCTACTTCAACTCGTTTCGCGTTGCCTCGTCTCGTTTGGCTTGGGCCAAAAGAGTTGACAGTCACTTTTGTTGAAAATGAGACAGTAATTGCCCAAAATGTGCATGACTGTAAGTGCTGGCACTCGGTTGGGGGAACGGGGCCAGCAACTCGCAGGGTCGCATATTTTAGGCTGGGTTGGGTATGGGATGGGGGGTGGTAGGGTCAGTCTATTTTCTGCTATTTTCAAAAATTGAAAACTTTTCCGTTCTGTGGGTCCCCCTGCCTGTGTCATATTGTTGCGCTTGAGATGACGACTACTTAAATTAAAGCGTAATTTAATTAATAATCCCATTTGGCCGCACTGTGCCAAGCTGTGAGCACACGCCTTAGCGGCTATGGGATCCAGCCAGGCGATCAGCCGTAACCCCCCACCAAGCCAGTGTGTGTGCGTGTGTGTGTGTGTATGTGAGTGAGTGTGTCTGGCAACGGAAGTTGCAAAATATGAAAATGACTGCGCAAGCGGAAGTGCAGTTGTGGCATGCCACATGTGTGCCATGTAGCAATAGCAAAGGCGGCAGGGGGCAACAGGGATTAGGGCGCAGCCATATACAGTCTGGGGCACAGGTCCTCGTCTGGTTTCGTATTGGCATTGGCAGGCGCCATTGTCTCGCGCCTGTTGTTAATGGCAACACTGCCACAAAAGACGACAAAAGCGGTGGCAACACGCGTTGCCCTTCTGCCAGCCAAACAGCCAGCCAGCTAGTCAGCTAGAGTCGGGCTCTGATTGACTTTGCCTAAATAGTCTTTGTGACCATTAAAAGCGCCAGCAAATTGAGCGCCAGCTACACAATAATGCAAACTATTGGGCTTTGTCTGAATGGTCTCGCATCCGACATGCATAGTTCCCTTTTTTTAGGCGGTAGCCTTCGCAATTCAAGAACAATAACAAGTGCGAAGCGGTCCAAATAATGTGGTTAGAGGAAGCTTGACTAGATTTTAGTTCATTTTAATCCTAATATTGCTTATGAACAACACTATCTGAGCTCAAAATATTGCTAAGAACATAAAATTGCAGGCAAAAAATCTTTTACTTTGTTTGAGATTTAGGCGTGTGTTAAATATTCAAACTACTATTTAAGCCTTTTCTAAATTAAATGGTAATTTTGTATTGAAAATTGCCTTTTATTTGTACAAAAATATACGTGATGAAAACTAAAACACTTTTGCCTAGATTCGAACCTGAGCGCAAATTATAAAAGAAAAAATTCCAAATCAAAACTTTTTTATTCAAATCTATATTTTGGCAAGTTTTTGGCGTTTTAGAAACTCGTTTATTTTGAGCCACGATGCAATTTTTGCCAACCTACACTTTGGTGTTAAGCACTTGCTATTCAAGCCAATTTTCAGAGCTCTCACAATGTTGACCATTTCTTTATTTTTATGATGCTTGAAAGAATTTTTAATTTTAATAAGAGTTGTGCACACACGGGCGCACACACACTGGGGACAGTCAGGCTCGTGCGACTGAGAAGCTAAAAGGCCAGAGACGAAAGGACTTTTCATAGCTTAATTTTTATTGCACAGGCGAAAGTGCTGCTGCCACCTAAAAACCCTTGCAACCAGCCACCAGTAAGTCCTAGTCCTATAGCTATCTATGTGTGTGTGGGTGTGGGTGTGGCTTATGTTAATGTTTTGCCAGCTTGCGAGCAATTTTAATGAAAGTTGCTTGCCATAAATTTTAATCACATTTTTTTTTTGGGGATAAGATTCTACCTGAGACCATGAAAATGCCACAGTCACATGCACAAGCGTATTTAAAGCATGTACAAAGTATGGCAATATTTAAAATTCAGTGGCATTTAATGGTTGTTTGAATGGTTCAGCGATTCCTAAACAACAACAATAACAACAGCAGCAATTGTGTTGCTGTTGCTGGCGCCCCGGAAAGCGCAACAAGCGTAATAAATGTGCAGCGTCATACAACACCAAAAAGTATGCAATAAATTTCACAACAATCAACTTTGATGCATGTAGGTGAACACGTACACACACGAACAGACACACACACACACAACAAAAATAACAGCAACAAAATACTGCAAATACTGCAAATACTGCAAATAAAAATAAAACGCAGCCAAAATGCTTGTGCACTGTGGAAAAATAAAACCGCGCCACAATCACCTAGCAGCATACATCATCATTTTTAGTTCTTTCGCTTTGTATTTGTATTTTTATTTTATTTATATATTTTTTGCCTTTCTTGCTCCACCATTTCCGTTGCTCCACCCAAAATAAAATATTAAAAAAAAATACACATAATAAACACGAGTAGTAGAACAATTTTTGCAACATTTAGCACGGCTCGACATTTCTACAATTTATACACAGACACTTCCTGGGCTAGAGAAGGGGCCTGCCAAGTAGAGCGGGTGGCTGTGAGGGGGGCGTGCTCAGGGAATTGGTCGCCAACAACACGAGTCATTAAAATGATTCACTCAACTGTAGTCTGTATGTGCCTCGTATTATTGCAGTTCTTTTCGCTGTGGTTGATTTTCCATTTCGCTGTTTGCTTTTTTTGCCTGTTGAAGGGGGAGCAGAGCGTAGCACATTTTCATTAATTGGCCAACATCAAATCAGGCAACAGCAATAACAACAACAGCAAACACTCAGCTGACCCAAAAAGTAAAAAAAAAAAACAGCTATGAATACTTTATTTGCATTAGCTGCAGCCTTTCGCTATTCACTTTTCACAGGTTAACCAAAAAACAACAAGAAAATACTTGTTGTCCTCGTTGACATTTAGAAAAGTGAAAATATTTGTCATTTTTACTCTGCGCTGAAATTTGATTATTTTCATGCAGATTTATTTATTACATGCCAAACTCGAAACCTCAAAATTAACAAGCCTTCAATATTTCATTCAATTTGTGGATAAACTAAAAAAAATAAATTACATTGAAAAGGTTTGGGAACGCATTTCTCTGATGACTTAGTTTGCAAATATTACTAAAAAATATAATTTAATTAATATCGCTATTTAATTATTTTTTGGACAACATTGCTGCTAAAAATAGTTTAAAGGTTTTGCAAACAGAATATTAAGTTTCTAAGTGCCAAACATTACAAAAAAAAGCCATTGTTTACATAGTTATCGATTGCTTATCGACATAGTTATCGATTGGTAAAAGTAATCATAAAGAGACTGGCACCTGTTTACAATACTCTGCTCAACTTAAAGCAACCTTTTGCACGCCCTTCCCGCCGCATTTTGCGCTATAGTTTCACAAAATGTATAAAAAATAATAATTAAAAACGAATGTGAAATAAAATCTGGGCGCATAGCGATGTGACAATTTTTATCGCATAAAAATGTGCTCCATAAATAATGAAACGATTAAAATTAAAATCTGCAAATATTTTATACATACAAATGTGTAAATGTGTGCAAATGAATTGTTTTCACATATCGTGCATATTTCATGCGAGTATTTCCCATAAATATTCTTCAAATTGACTCACGTATGTGCGTATTAGTGTTGAAAATTTTCAAAATGTGGCACCTGATTAATTGGAGCGGATCCAAGCGTTAATTGAAACCCAATATTAGACGAATAATTCGGGAGAAAAGCAAATAATTATGGCATGATGTGGGGCATTTGCGTAATTAGAAATGCGAGAACCAAATTGTTTTGAAATCATTATTAAATTCACATATTTTAAATTTTAAGTATTAGTAAAATCTTTATGTATTCATACAAAATTGTTGAGTAAGTGTATTATTTAATGTCAGCCTTTGACTGCCGGAATTAGCTTGTTTGGGCTACATATTACATTGTTTATTGGTCATATAAAAATATAATGCACGGGCTCTCTACCCAGTTTATGAAGCTTTATATGTGTCATTCACATTAGCTTAATATGCCGGAAAAGTGCGCCCGATATTTAATAGACCCCTGGCAGATTCCAAGCAGTCGCATTCGCAGCAAACACTGTCATAACTTTTATACGGCCTTTAAAATCATATAAAAAAATTGTGTTAATTTTCATGTGTTGCTGCTGCCCTACGCACCAAGCCCACCTCGCCCACCCCACCCTTATCCCCCCTACTCGGACATAAAAAAGGTAAATTCTGGCCATTTTATGGACCAATGAGCATCATGTGGATACGGCCATTAAAGTAAAGCTACAAAATGTGAGAAACAAAAGCCAAGCACACTTTGACTTTCAAATTTATTGATAAATCTTAGATCTTAGGACTACTTACACATGCGTTCGCACTGGCCATAAATCATTAAAGCTGTTTTTTTTTTCTGTTTACCTTAAAATTGCTTACATATTATAGAAGTTTGCTTATGATGATGATGATGATGATGATGGGTTGGAAGGCTGGTTTTATGAGCATGCACTCAAAACATAATTCAATATTTTATATAGGAAATTCTTTAATAGATTTAAAGTCTTTGAAACTGTTGTTGTTTAAGTTGGAGAATACCTTTATCTAAAACCCATTTTAAATTGGGTTTTACAATAGTTATTTTTGGCTTTCAGTTTCATCTTATAAATTATAATATTTAAACATTTTTGAACCGGTTCAAACTTTGTCTCTACTAGGATTGTCTCATTCGTTGCTAATCTTAAAAACTAAACCCATTTGAAATCGGCTTAAACTGGTTTAACCCTAAAAGTAGCATCATTTTTGTTAGCCAGGCTTAGATGGATTACCCCCGATTCACTCCCATCTAATGGCATCCGCACTCCTTGGCCACCGTCTTTTGGTATTTGGTTAAGTCTATGATATCCTCGTTAATGTATCGCAATATGGTTATGGCGCCCAGAACAGTGGGCACACAGCAGGGCTTGGGCAGATGTGGCTGCTTCAGATGCATCAGGGTCTGAACAATCGCATGATTCGTGGCATTCATTTTAGTGCCGAGTGGAAAATTGCAGCCGCCGCCGCAAAAGTACGCCTCGAACTTCTTGGGCGCTATGACCCAATTGTGCATTTGCAGCTCCTTGAAGTCCACTGTAAAGTTAAGACGCTCGCAGGACTGCGGCGCCTTGAATACCTCCGGCGGGGGCCGGACGTGGCCAGTTGGCGGTAACATGGCTCTGCGCTTGTTGAGGTCGCGCTTGAAGCGCAGCTTTTGTACCTTAACCAGCAGCTCGGGCCCATTGAAATAGCCCACAATGAAGGGCTCCAGATTGGAACCCGCTGCCTGGGGCGCCACTAGACCGGCGCCCAAGGCACTTAGCTGCGCCTCGCCCAACGAGATGCGCAACTCGTGGCGCTGTGGGCTCTTGTTAAGCAACCAGGCGCGCAGCGTCTGCGTCAGATTGAACTCTAGCCAGCCCTTGTAGAGGGCTGTGGTGTTCACCGAGTGCAGGATACGATAAACAGGAGCACCATCCTCCATGAAAGCCTGATGATGACTGTGGATCCTTCTATATACGGAAACTGTAAAATTCTGACGCTGCTCCTGCCAGCTGGACTGCTTATAGATGCGCAGCATGGCCTGCACCAGCGTCAGGTCCATGGGTACGTCATTCGTATTGAACGTGATGTGCAAGTCCTGCTGAGAGTTTATCTCCCCCTCTTCCAGCGGCTTAAGACGACTGGAGAAGGTCAAGATACTGTTGCAGCTAGCTATCTCCTGGCGATCCTCACGGGTCACTAGTATATCGTCCTCTAGCGAACGCTTGTGTCGCTGCTGTAGCACTTCCTGCGGCTCCTGCTCCTCGTTGATCTCATTGTACACCTCAAGCAGAAACTTTGAGGCCGACGTGTGCAGCTGTTTGGGCTGTGCCATGCGCCTGGGTCTGTCGCCCAAGTCCAGCAAATCCACCATTTCCAATTGTTCAGCAAGAGTTGTTGGCTCCATGTGGTCATCGACTGTTACGTAGGTGGTGCCCAGGACGCCCAAATAACTGGAGATTAGCACCAATGGAAGTAACTGCAACATTGTTGAGTTGTGTGTCGAGTGTGCAATAAGTAACTGAATAGCCTGGTTAGAAAGGTCTGTGTTTTATAGGCAAACAGGTAGTAAGCGACGGAATATCCAGGTAGAGCACAAGTTAACCCTTTCGCAGAGAAAGAGAAGAGAAGAACTATGTCAAAAGCCCTCAAGTGAAGTACAGGCTTTAAAGGATTGAAGATTAACGCCAGCTCATATAAATGTGGATAGGTTTTTTTAAGCCAATCCTAGTCAGTCTTAAGAGTTTTTTTTACCTAGAGCTCAGTTATTTCTTGGATAAGTTGAACTAACGACAAGATAGCTGAAAAAGTCGTTAGAATTGTTAAAACAAAAAAATCCTTTAATATATATTAATCTCAACTGTAAAATGTCTTATGTAAAGTTAAGTTCTCTCAGAAAAACTCAAATTATAACTCTCTCTTTCGCCCTTTCTTCTTCTAGGCGTCTTGCAAATCAACAACAGTCGCGAAGAGGATCAGGGCAAATACGAATGCGTTGCGGAGAACTCTATTGGAACGGAGCACTCAAAGGCCACCAATTTGTATGTGAAAGTGCGTCGCGTGCCACCCACATTTTCGCGCCCACCAGAGGCCTTGAGTGAGGTGATGTTGGGCTCCAATCTGAATCTATCCTGCATAGCCGTCGGCTCTCCCATGCCGCACGTCAAATGGATGAAGGGTAAGTGTGTGGGATTGACATTTGCCCGGGCCCTACCCAAAGGTAATCGCTCTCATTCTATGTGGCAGGTGCACAAGATCTGACGCCGGAGAATGATATACCCATAGGTCTGAATGTGCTGCAGTTGAATAATATACAGGAGAGCGCCAACTTCACGTGCATAGCCGCCTCCTCGCTGGGCCAGATCGAATCGGTGTCCGTGGTCAAGGTGCAATGTGAGTGCAAGCAGCAGATGGAACCTGAGATCAGATTTTAAATGGTCGCTCTCTCTTTTTCCCTCTAGCTCTGCCCACGGCGCCTACGGATGTGCAAATCTCAGAGGTGACCGCCACTTCGGTGCGTCTGGAGTGGTCGTACAAGGGGCCCGAAGATCTGCAATACTATGTCATCCAGTACAAGCCGAAGAATGCGAATCAGGCCTTCAGCGAGATCAGCGGAATCATAACCATGTACTATGTGGTCCGTGCTCTGAGTCCATACACCGAATACGAGTTTTATGTGATAGCTGTGAATAATATTGGACGCGGTCCGCCCTCGGCGCCGGCGACTTGCACCACGGGTGAGACAAGTGAGTATGCCCGGCTACCGAAAGGAGTTCACTTAAGGATAAACCCACTAACTGTTACTCTTGTTCTTCTTTTTAACGTTTATTTTACTTTTACCATTTTAACCACACGCTGCCAGGATTTTTTCAGGAATTTTTGCAATTTGATTTTCTTGTTGATTTTTTTTTCGCTTGAGTTTTTATGTAAACTGCGGTACTCACCCGTTTCTCGTTATGTCTCTCTCTCCGTCTCTCCTTCTCTCTCTCTTTTATTTTCTCTTTTTCTCGCACGCTTTCTCCGCATCTCAGGCGATTACTCATTTGGCGGCACAAGTAAGTATCCTCTTAGCCTTTTCTTCTATGCCAAAGTGGGTGGCCAACAAAATTTTATGGCCAAAACAATTTCAATAACAATTCTTGAGCGGCATTCACATAACATTAGCCTTCCCCCTTGACCGTCGACACCGCCACATAACCCTTTCTTTGCACGAGTTTTGCTTGGAATCAAAGGTAAATGCAATGTTTAAAAAAAGAAGCGTTGCATACGCAGCTGCCTCAAGCCCAGACACACGCGCACACTAAATCTGTTGATGTGTGTGTGTGCGTGTGTGTAGAGGCAGCTGCCACACGTCGCCTAGACGCCCCCCACCTTCTACCCTTTGAATGTGGCTGGCAACGCATAAACTTTGCATTGTTATGCGTTCATATGAATGCGCATCAATGTCGTTTCTCTGCTTACAAGTGCCATGCATATGTATGTGTGTGCGTGTGACCGTGTGTGTGCATGCAACGCCGTTTTAGCCATGGCAATTGCGCGTAAGCAAGCGCTGCGTTCCGCCCGCTGCCCGCTTCGTTTCGTCCTTCTCTCTACTGCGGCTATTTTGGCCTGTCTGCCAATTTTTTGGGATTTTTTTGTAGCTTGTCGTATAAAAGTTGAAAACTTTTATTGCCACAATTATGCTTATCGCTTGCCCAATATCGTTGCGAAATATTATTTCGATAGCAAACGTTTACGGCCAGCAGCAACAATGGCAGCAGACCAGAAATAAAAAGAAGAACAAGAAAATGCGAAAAAGAAGAAAACTAACAACATTTTGGAGAACTCAGCAGCAGGTCGCACGCATCGGATAATGACACGTGTCAGCTCGGTTAGGTTCGGTTAGAGTCGGCTTAGGAGCTTAGGTAGCAGCTGGCAAAGTCGAATTTATGGTCTGTAAGTGCAACAATCGAGTGCCATAAACAGCAGACAGCTTAAGGAGGCACGAGCATCAGATGGAAGGTACCTGAAACATAACTCCATAGAAAGTTGTGTCTTAAGATGTGCCTACTAGCTGTCAAAAGAACTTGGGCTTGTCAAAATATATACGAGGAAGGTTCTTAATGTGGTTCTAAGAACTTTATCAGGTTGCATCTTAAATTAACCAATTGTTCATTTCCCATTCCTTTATAAAGTTGTTCGCGTATTTTAAATGAGATTTATTAGACAGCAAATGTTTGATTAGCTCTACATTTTCTGACGACTCTATAAAGTATATACATATAGACATTCTCGTGTGCCATTTAACGATTTTCGATTCTAAATTCCCAGAAATCGATTTCTAATTTTTTTCGGAGAAAAAGGCATCCTGGCTTAATTATACACAGATCATGTATAATTCCCTGCAAAATAAAACAAAAATTCATTTGTATTTAAATTGACTTTACGGTCTTATGCATGCCCTAAAAATGCATACAAATGTTTATAAAAGCTAATCTATTTTACGGCAAGTCACATCTGGTCACAGAGTTTTGCCTTGGCAAAACAATTTTCCTATTTTAACTTTTACCTCTACTTTTACACGCTATTCGTAATCCAAGCGTATGCTAAAATTTAAAACCTTAAATTTCTACAACCATTTTGCATCTATTTCAAGTTTCATTTGAAGTTTCAAGTGTCTGACATACATTGCCCACATGCACTTGGCCTATTATCATCTATTTTGGTTATATTATAGATTGGAATCTGTTATTTATGCTTTTCATTAATTTAACTGAGACTTTGCTTGAGTTGATCGCATCAGACAGGGTCTTAACAATTTTCACGCAAGCCGGGCAGCTGCTGGTCCCTCTCAATTCGCAGCAATTATAAAGATATGCAGCATGTCCTGCAGGGCTTGTCACTCACTCTCGCTCTCTCTTTCTCTATCTTTCTGTCTCACTCACTCTCCCGCTCTATCTGTCGCCATTGTGTGCACTCAACCTTTGGCTGGAAATCCTTGCTATTGAAGTAACTGCTGTCTTGTATTGCAATTTGGCTATAATGTATACAACTAATATGGCCTAATACATTTAAGTTTAATGCGCACACAAACACCTTCACACACACCAATACACACACACACACAAGTGTGTTGGCAACTCTTTAACAGCTCCTTTCGTCATGTAATAGGTCATGGGGCCTCAGCACATGGTTCCGAAGTATGACGTTGTATGTGTGCGGGCTTGTGTGTGAGCCTGTGTGCGTGTGTGTGTGTGTGTGGGAGGCTGCTAAGAATTTAGTGCTATGTGCTATAAGCAGACAGCAGTAGGCGTGAGCAGGCATGCAAGGGATACATATTAATGGAGCGTATCCGTATGTAATGTATATGCTCTTAAATGCAGCTTACGTGACGCTGCCACACGATGCACACAAGCAAAAGGAGCTGCCAGGATAACTGGCAGCCAGGCTTCGCTCCGGTCAGGATGTCTCTGTGTGCGTGTGTGTGTGTGTGTGTCTGCCCAGGCGCTTGCCAGGCCAAGCTATTGCAATTTTTGAATGCCCCATGTGCTGCATGCAAATCTTAGCCTAGACCCAGCAAATGGCAATGGCAGACGCTTCTATCCGTGCAGCACACACACATATATGCACACATATATGCACACACATATGCACACACATAACACACACTCGTGTAACAGATGAGATGGCTGCGATATAAATTGTGGGTAAAACGCTGCAGTGGCACCATGTAGATATTGCAGTAAAATTGTGAGAATTGGAATTTATTGATTGGCCATTAACCAATTGAGAAGCACAAGAAAAGGAAATGATGCAACACATACACACACACTCGCACACACACACACACCCCTTCAAACACCCTCTCCAAAAGGCACACAACATGCAGCAGCAGCAGCAGCGGCAGCAACAACACTTGCTGACGCTTGTCAGCAATTGAGGCGATCCACTGCTGTTGCCCTCTAATTAGCAAAGCTTCCTCTTGCCACTCCACTCCCCCTTTCAGCTGCGATTTCTATCTGGTCTATCTGCGCTCTCCGCCTGTCTCTCTCTGCCTCCCTCATCCTGCTACTGTGCAGTTGTTCAGCAATTTCACGCCTCACAATTGTATTTCAGGCATTTACGAATGCGATTTAGGGCAATGCACAACTATTGTATACCCTATAAACAGCTACAGTATGCATCCACACATAAAGCTGATTCTAAAGATAAAGGCATGTTATATTTGCTTTGCGACCTTTAAATAATTTTGTTCGACTTGCTATTTTGAATTTGGAAGAATTGTAAATTCAACATCAAGCCAATTTTGTCAACAATTATGAGATTGAATTCTCCACTGAATGCTTCTTCCATGTGCTGCCAAGTTATGACAAAATTTAAATTGTGATTTGTTGAATGCCAATCGCAAATAGGTTCTTATCTTCACTTGAGTATGAAATGCAATTTTGTGTTTCTTACTAAAACATTCAATTGTATTTATGCGAATGTATTTATCGATGAAAGCCCCAA